CAGTTCCCGTGTGATGTCTCTCTCATGGATGCCAATGCGCACATTGGCGCAACATTGCCTGACCTACCGTATGTAGGGGGCCTGGCGCCCTGGGGTGAGCCCGATGATAATGGTCACCGGTTTGCATCCCTGGAACGACAGTGCGATTTTGCACTATTCCATACCTTGCGCGGCACGGCCGACGACTGGGCATGCACTGACGGACAAGTATACCATCGATCTGGTTAGTGAGGTGCACGCGCCGATTGGCTAGCATCGGCAGTTCGGCATCGGGTTATACCTCGTCTGGACACAGGACTGCAGCAGGAGGACCACCGCCAAGTGGTGGTGGAATTTCATTGTCGACATTCTTCGGCACCTAGGTCTCATTATTCATGACTGAATCTTTCACGAGACAAAGCAGCAGCCCCCGACCGACGCGCGGACTTCCAACGTGCACTCCGACTGGCCCAGCCAGCGCCATAGTCCCAATGAGTCAATGCACAGTATTCCGACACGGTGAAGGATATTAAGCACGCAGCCGCTCAGTTTTGCGCGAATGACCTTTTTACACCCGGACAGTCATATATATATATGACGGGATACGATGCGCCCGATTCGCCCTCGCAGTTTTGCACAACATGCATTCCGACGGTGGCGACGAGGCGAAAGCGATGCATCTGAGAATCTCCGTGCATTTCCCCTTTTGCATCAGCCGCTCTTCTGCGCTGAATCAGACGCCTGGTGCGAGTAAGTGAGCCGCTTAGTACTGGGCATTAGGTTTAAGATTTTGCATATTTGGCCCCCATATCGGATTGAAGGCCCAGGCAGAAGCTGTTACACATACTATTTCGAGCATTCCCAACGACCAGCTGAAATCTGACCGCGACATGAAGTAGGAGCCATATGCGAATGAGATAGGTGAAAGTTCGGTCGTAGGTGACTCGAGCAAGCTGTGGCACGCTGCCAAGCAACTTCTTCGATGTGGTGGTCGAACGTATCCTCGGCTTTTTGGTAGCAGCTATCTTCCGCGTCGGGTCGACGATCATGGCGAAGTCATGACTAATGAAGAAGAGTTGGGAAGGAACCGCATGAAGGCATATTCCAAGCTGGAGGGCGAAATGACGATCGAACCCGGCAAGTACATCCAGGAGTATATAAACTTTTCGGGCACATCGCTCGACCTCACCCCTGTGCGCATAGACTATATCCCTTCCATCATGGACACAGAGCGCCGCCTACGCAAAGGACCCATGCGACGGGCTGCAGGCACAGACGGTATCTGTGAGGGGATCACCCAGGCAACCCCGCAGGAGATCGCCACCATGCCCCACCCGCTCCTCGTCAACATATGCCTCACTGGAGTGGAGCCAGTTGCCTCCCAACATTCCACGCTTGCTGAACTATCAAAGGCAGCGGGCAATTCATATACCAACAAAGGGTACAGAGCAGTTGCGGTGTGTAATGTGATTGCCACGCATCGCTGCAGAATTATACGGTCGCAGTTGGCATATGCCTTGGATTTTGTAGTGAGAGGTTATCAGCTCGGTGGCGGGCCGCGTCGTTCCCCAGTCATGGCATCGCACCAGCTTCGGCTCTTCACTGAGTTGGCGAAGCCAAAAAGGACAGTCTTTGGCTTCCATGTTTCTCGACCTCAAGGCTGCATTGCATCGCATTATTCGGCGAATGGCCAGCCGCGTGCAGCGTCTGGAGGACGAGCCCTCGCGCATTGTTGATGACTGTGATATTCCACTTGCCCTTGCGCCGCTGGCGACGGAGATCATCTCGCAGCCAGCGTTCTTTGATCAAGTAGACATTGATCCGCACTTGAGTCATCTTGTCGCTGAATCACCACGCCAGGTATTCTTTGAAGTCTGCAGATCACAGAAAGTTGGAGATCCAACGCGAAACTCGCGCCCAGGTTGCGCATTGGCCGGCTACCTCTTCAATGTAGTATTCGTTGAGCCTCTTGACATGGTCTCTCAAAGCCTCCCTGACGCAGGCTTGGTTGTGAACCTTGATACTGGAGATGAAGAAATGCAAATGAGGAGGTCAAGCGAGAATGTCACATGCATTGTTGATGTGACGTATGTTGATGATGCCATCATTCCACTCGCCATGGCTGACAACAGTGATTTGGTGGCGCTTATGAGACAGTCTATGGACATACTGCGCGAATCGTTCGTAGCACACTACATGGAGCCTAAATGCGGTCGTGGTAAGACTGGTGCGCTTGTTCAGCTTCGAGGGTCCCGGCGCGAATTGCTTTGCTAGACCCTCTGCGGGGGTCATTACCTTAGCTTTCAAAGTGGAAGGTATGGATTCACTTTCTATGTCGCACAGCAGTGCAAGCACATGGGCAGCATCATCTGAGCAGACTCATCTCTCCGTCTCGAAATTACTCGCAGGGTACAATCGCATGAACCAGCCATTGGACCCATTCGGCGCACATTACTCCCGCGCAGTGGACTGACTTGCGAGACCAAGATCCGCTTCGTTGAAGCATTTGCTTTTTTCACGGCTCCTGCAGCAATCAGAAACTTGGCATGACCTGGGGGCTTAGAATGATACGCGTCTGACCGCGGCATACATCAAGGCCTTGCGGTCGCCCGCGAACCTTGTGCGCACAACTGGTGGCAGTGTTCATGTGTCTGCTGATCATGTACTATGGCGAGTTCAGCGGGCACCATGAGAGGATAGAGCACGCATTCGTCACCTCGAGTACCTCGAGCGAGTTGTCAACCACGGGCCCGCCACTCTCATATTGCTTTTGGACGTGCTGGGTGTACGAGGTACTAGTCTTGGAGTGGTGACGACAGTCCTCGATTGGCTACATGGATTCGATATCGGTCAGGCACTTCCACATGATTTACGGCAGTGGATTGATTCCATTCCTGCGCATCTTCGTCAATACCTGAACATGTGTGTGCTGGCGTGGAAACGTTTCCGAGCATGGCGCAATGATCGATCTCATCGTATTGCATGGTTGCAGCAAATTCATGCTTCGATCCCATTGTTGGGCGACAGACCTGATGAGGAATATAATTTTATATGTCGTGAGTGCGGGGCAGTCTTCGAACTCGTTGTTGGATGGAAGTCGCACGAGACCCGAGTACATAGGGACCGACGGGATTTTCGACTATACGCACGCAGCGGATACTGCAGGGCATGCGACACGGACTTCCACACGCGCAAACGATTGTTGTACCATCTTCGGTACCGCAACACAGGGCGCGCGGACATTCTTCGTCTCACGGGAACCACGCACATGCAGAGGCGGACGAACTTGATGAACAGAGTACCGAAGCTGCCTCGACACTACGGTCGGCTGGATATCAAGAACCGAAAACGCTACACCCACCAGTTCGGGGGCCATTGTATGCAAGGATGCCGAGAGGGTAATTGGAATAACAGATGACCCCAGTAAGCGTTCTCATTCCATGCCAGAAGCCGGCGCGACCGCACACGAGTACGACGGTGTGGGGCCCAGATGATCAATGTACAGTATTTTTTCTGGTCGATTTCGAACATCGATATGGTTTTTTGGGGGCGACTCCGATGGACACCACTCAGAATATGAACGTTGACTTCCTGGATGTGCGTACCTCTGAGATGGACTCCTTTTCCTTATCGGGATCCCACAGTGAGCTGGGTGAGCGTCTACGTGCTTATCGACTTTTGCTGTGATAGGAAAGGTCCAGATCGAGAGGATGTGTTTTGATGGGGGCCACACTACATGCATGGCAAGCGATGGGAGCGCCATCGCTTTTTCTAACAGTTTGATGCGATTCCTGATCAGCTCTTTTACAACTGCCGAGGTCATAGTCTACCTGTAGGGTTTCATTTGCATGGTATGAACTGGCCACTGAATGGAACATTTGACGTCTGCCAGGCTCTCGATGTGCTGGATTGCGAGCAGATCGGGGCCGTGGCCCAGGGGGGGTGTATTCAGCCCGCAACGCAACAACCTCCTGGGCCACACGGCCAGGTGTCGGAGCGCCGACGCGGTGCAACATGTGCGAGCACGGTTGGCGAGAAGGCCGGAGACCGCTGAGTCTCGAGGCAGGCATGGGAGCCCCCCAGGGTGGATCGTCACCTGGGGCGCTCCTCGTCGTCGTGTTGGTCGCCGCCCAAGGACGATACTCGGCGACGAGCACGATATGACGACGCTGCGATGATCTGTGGCGGCGTCGTCGACGGCGACGGTCCGTGTCGGCCCGCGCGCGGGCGCGGGCGCCGGCGCGGCAGTGTGCGGATCGAGCGCTGCGAGGTGCGCCTCTCTTGGCGCGAGTGTAGTAGTAGGGGGAGGGGGAGGGGGAGGAGGAGGAGGAGGAGGAGGAGGAGGAGGAGAGGAGGAGGAGGAGGAGGAGGAGGAAGGAAGGGGAGGAGGGGGAGGAGGAGGAGGAGGAGGGAGGGGAGGAGGAGGAGGAGGAGGGGAAGAGGAGGAGGAGAGAGGAGGAGGAGGAGGAGGAGGAGGAGGAGGAGGAGGAGGAGGAGGAGGAGGAGGAGGAGGAGGAGGAGGAGGAGGAAGAGGAGGAGGAGGAGGATGAGCACAACGGCACGCAGCTCCACGAGGGGCAGGCCTTCGAGAAGTCCCGCCGCAGTCGCCGGCGCGGGGTTCCCGAGGTGATCCTCGCGCCCGGCGGCGGTGCCGGCGGTGCGCCTCTGCGCGCGCGCCCGGCCCCGAAAGCGTGAGCGCCCACGCTGCTGGGAGCAAAAACGCCTCCCCTCCAACTCCCTGTCTTCTTGCTGTCTTCCTCCCTCCTCTCCCCAATTCCCCTCCCTCGAGCTCTCCTCCTCCTCCTCCTCGGGCTCTCTTCCCCCCCCTCTCTCCCTGCTCCCTCCTCCCATCCTTTTCCCTCGCTCCTCCTTCTCCCTCTCTCGCCCTCCTCCCCTCTCTTCAGCCTCCCCCCTTTCTTCCTCCGCCTCCCCCTCCTCGCCCGCGAACAGTTCCCTCCTCTCTCGCCTGCCCCAAATCCTCCCCCATCGCTCCCATCGCCCTCTCTGTGCCCCTTCGCACCCAAGTCAGCGGGATGCGGCAGTGAGGTGTGTAATATTGCCCCCCACGCTCCCCAAGATCCGACGACGTGATGTCTTCGATGCGCGGCCCCAGCACGGAAGTGGAGGAGGAGGAGGACATTTTTTGACATTCGCTTCGGGGCTGCACTAAAACTCATGCGCGTTCCCTGGACAGCAACTGACCCCCAGTCCATGCCTGGGGCGTTGCCAGTTCCGATTCGGCGCCAAGAATCCTACCCCAGGAGGAGGAGAGGAGGAGAAGGACATGCATGAAACAGAACTAGCCCGGGTTAAACGCTGCCCACCGTCTAATGGGCCGTTCCCGAGCCAGAACGGAATCAACGCAGAACTTCCCCAGAACGGGGCGGAGAATCCCATCCCACCCGCCAATTATCCCCAACCCCAGACACGAGCAATCCCTGAACGCCAACTTGCAGGTTCGGACTTTCGGGCATGGTGAGACCATGGCAAGACCCGCCAGGGAAGGCTACTTGCTTTCGCCTGCGACCTGGCTGCCAATTCCTTGACCTGTCTGGAGGGAGGAAGGAGGGAGGGGGGAAGACTGAAGGACCAAGGGAAGGGGAAGGATATCAAAACTGCAATGCACTGGGGTAACTTTCTTCCCACATACTAATGGGAGGGCCCCTAGCAAAGCGAGACCTACCATCCCCCAAAAGGGTTGGAGAAAATACTAGGGGATTACTTCGCCAGACTTTCCTGGACCCCTGAAAAATAAGAATAAACTGGGCTGAAATACAGCTGCCCTACTAGCGCATGACAAGAAACTGCAAGTAAGCTACCTGTTTCAACAGTACTGCCGATCTTGCCAAAGGATACAAGGCGTGTGAAGGTTAAAGAACGCTGGGTAGCTGACGAATGTCCAACCCAAACGCAGCGCTGACCAACACAAAAGAAGGATTCTACCAGAAACCTGTAGCCAAAGAAACTTTGCTCACTAAGCCATTACTCAAGTTGCCTATTTTGCCCAATATGCAATGCAAATTCTGCCGCTGAAATGAAAGTTGGATACTACCACCAACATTGAACTCCAATTACTTTGAAGAAGTGGAGTCTGAGCTGGATCTGCTCCTCTGAGGAACAGGCGCACTGCCTGAAGCTGCGTTTTGATTCTTAGCACGATTGAGTTTTTCCTGGAGTGTCTCCAGCTTCTGCTGGAGGTGCTTGATCTTGATATCCTGGAGACCACACTTGGGCTCCAGAAGTCTAGAATTGGACGGGGCAGATTCACTGGAAGGGGCGGCATCGCTGTGCCCAACCTTTGCACGCTTACTAGCGTGCTCTGGAGAAGTCGAACGAAGACTGTCGACATGGTTCTATACTGGCAGAAGGTGAATCGGACTCGCTACCGCTGTCTTAAACAACTGGAAGTTTGTCTTCCTTTCTTGGTGATCTGAACCTTTACCTTAGGCTCCACGCTGAATTTCTCGTATACTGCCAACTAAAGATACGGTTCTTGCCCTTTGTACTTGTCCAAGAAATAATCAAACTTATCCAGCATCTGAGGCTCGTACTGCTGGAAGACATCCGAGATCAATTGCTTGAACTGATGCCTGACTTTGAAATCCTGGCCCTGCTCTCTGTCGGCTTCTACCTGACCAGCGGCCTTTTCTTTGGGATTGGACTTCACTGCCACAAGAGGCGGCGGTGGTGGCTGCGCCTTCTCACTGTCGGCTTCTACCTGAACAGTGGGCTTATGTTTGGACTGAAACTTCTCCCTGCCAGCTGCTACCTCAGCATTGGGCCTTTCTGTGCTCCCAGACTTCGCTGCTGACGGTGGTGGCGGAGGTGGCGGGAGTGGCTGGGAACTCTTCCCATGCCAGGGGAGACCGCACTTACATAACGGCTGAGAAGCAATTCTATTAGGCCAGATCCAACAGTCTGGTCTGCCGCGCGGGCAAAGCAACTTAGAATGCGAAACAACTGGAGCTCCTACTCCTTCTTTGCGAACCCAGGGCGTCCTGGAAGACATGGCGGCAACTGCGGCGTGTGGGTGTAGGAGGAAAAGGGGGGGAGGCTGCTCCTGCCCAGCTGGCTTGAGCGGTGGCAACTTGAGCCAACATGGCTTGAGCCAAAATGGCTTGAGCCAAAATGGCTACGGTGGAGGAGGAGGAGGAGGAGGAAGAGGAGGAGGAGGAGGAGGAGGAGGAGGAGGAGGAGGAGGAGGAGCCGGCCCCTTCCCGGGGGCAGCTTACCGTCCCCGATCCGTGTCTCATGGTCCTGGGGTCCGGGGAGGGGCCCACTCAGACCCGAGATCGGGGAAAACCCGCAGGGCTTGAAGTTCGGTGTCAGATCGTGGGAGCCTGATATTCAGGAGGGAAAGAAAAACACACAGACACAATTAATCGTCGCCTCCCAGGAAAATATGGGAGAATATGGGAGGTGGGGGGAGACAGAAACCCAGAAAATATGGGAAAGTATAGGAAATCGTTTTATTAGTGTGTATTTATTTGTGTGTCCCAGGGCCCCTTCAGATGTGCCCTCGTATAACTCCGTCTGCAGAACGCACTCGCGTCGCTGAGCGCCTGGTGACTGATGAGGCAGCGCCGCTGTGCCGTCGATCCGCGTCGCTCGGCGCCGACGAACGCCGAGCGGAGCCGCTCCGCAGGAGCGGGCAGGAGGAGCTGCCCCGGAAGGTCGGAGCGATCGCGTCGTCGGAGGTCAGGGTGCGGCACCCGCGATGTGCCCGCCGGGCCTCGCTGGCGCGAGGGCGCCCGGGCCCGCCGGGGCTGCCCGCGGGGAGCGCGCCGTGGCCGGTCGCCCAGGCGAGCGAGCCGCCGTGCTCCCGGGGCGGCAGCGGTGGCAGGGGCCCGCAGGCGGCCGAGAGACTGCCCGAGACCCCGCCGCAGGTCAGGGGAGGAAAAGCTCGCTCATCGAGCAGGGGATCGACTGAACAGGTGATGTATATGCCCCTAAGGTGGTTTGCCTTGCCGAGTCGATGAACAACACGCAGAATGGGGGCCAATGCATTCTGTAGTCGATCCCCCACTCGAACTCGGCGTTGCCCAAGCGTCGCACCCAAAGGTGCGACGTGCGCGCCGTAGTATACGCTCCATGGCGGGAGTTTTCTGGCCGCACCGCTCGGGAAGCGATCTGCTACGAGATGGTTGTATTATAGGTTTGGGTCGGACGCACTCCTCCGAGGGGAACACATAGTACTACTAGGCCCTCGTCCTGCTCATGACGGGAGTTGTTTTGACGTGTTCGGCCTTCGCCGGGCCCCGGGGCCGTCAACAGACCACTCCCCTGACTGCGGACCCGGGCTGATTTTCGGATTGAAGCTTGCGTCGGGCAAGTTAACCACAGGCGATGCGAAAGAGTAGGGAGGATATTCCCCGCCTCTGGAAAGAAGGACCGACAATTCCGCAAAAGTGCGGATGAAACAGCGACGGCATAGTTAGGGCAGACATTTTGCAACATCGCCCAAAGTAAGGCAGATCCGAAGTCAGGGTCGGGATGAAACACTGGTTCTGATGAAAAAGGGTCTTGGATCCTGGGGACCCTGTAGTTCAAAACAAATCTAGACGTCTCACCAGTGCGGCTTCCCCTGCCCTTCCCTCGTTTTCCCCCCTTTCAGGTCTCCCGGGAGGCCCTCTGGATCCGCTTCGAGTTCCTGGTCAGAACGCGCCCCAGGAGAGGTCTGGTGCTGCGTTTCCCACGGCCAATTGGCCCCAGAGCCCCCATCTAGACCTCAGGGTTCAGCTTTTCGCCCTGGGTGCCCCATGGTGGGCCTCAGAGGCCGACGTCGAGCCAAAGCGTGTGGATCGAAAAAACCAGCGACGTGCCGCCAGAGATCTTGGCCCCCCGGCTTCCCCGAGGAGACGGCCGAGAAGCTGCCCAGGACCTCGCCGCGAGCCACCCACGGGCCGACGAGGACGACGATGATGGCCACCCATGCGGCGGGCGGCGCACGGTCAGCGAGGAGATCATGCGGCGCGCGGCGCACTTCTGCGAGCGCAACTCTGCGAGGGCCTTGGTGGCGTGGACGCTCGACGGCCGCTCCTGCGTCGCGGAGGACCCAGGGGCAGCGCCACGGGGGACTGGGAGATTCGAGGTTCGAGGTCTTCTGACATTTTCGTGGGTGCCTGGCTGTTTTCGAGCCGGGGGGTGCGTTCCAGCGGCTGCGCCTCGCCGATAGCGTCCCGGGGGTGCCCGGATCGCCCCGAAAGGGCGCCGAAGCCGCCAACCGCCCGTTGATCGCCGATGGGGGCCTCATAGCCGACCCCGCCCAGGAGCGTTCGGATTCGCTATCTGGGCCCTCTCGCCGACTTATCGGCGATGTACCTGTCGCCGATTCCAGGTCGACGCCCCCCCCCCCACAGCTGGCCTTCGCTCCTGACTTTGCCCCTCAAGGACGAGGGGGGCGGCCTGGTGAGGCGGCAGTGCCAGGAGCTCAACGCCCGCTACGAGGCGGGGTTCGACGTCACCGCGAGCTCCCTGCCAAGCCTCGGTTTCTCCGACGACGAGTCCTCGCCCAGCGGCTCCGCCTCCGAGGAGGCCCCCGAGGAGGCCCCGGCGCAGGGGAGCCCTGCCGTGGAGCTCCTGCCGCCGGCAGCGCTCGCGTGGCCGCCCTGCGACCCGGCGGGCCCCGAGCGCGAGAACGCCCTGCAACGCCTCCAGAGGGCAGTCCTGCGCAGGCGCGGGGCTGGGCGCGGCCAGAGGAAGGCCAGGTCGTGGGCGCCGCTCTGCGCGCAGGCCTGCATTGGGGATTATTCTCCAGAAAGCCTGGGCGCGGAACTGGAATGACCGCTCTGGGTTCGGAAGGGGCTCGATGTCCCTTCTATGGGTCCGTCCGTGGCTGTCGATCCACCCCTCCTCGTGCACCCAGGCGCTTGTTGGTGCCAAAGAGCGCCCCGGTCCGTTTTTGTGGCGTTCCTTCTTCAGAGGGCCATGCGGCCAGTACCGCCGACCCTGACGGGGGACGACGACGACGACGGCGACGACGACGACGGCGACGACGACGACGACGACGACGACGACGACGACGACGACGACGACGACGACGACGACGACGAGGACGACACGACGACGACGACGACGACTGCGACGACGGCGGCGGCGGCGGCGGCGCTGACCCTCTGCAGCTCTTCTTGGAGCTCCAAGGCAGCTCCAAGAGCTGCCGGGGCTGGGGTCAGGGCCGTGGCCAGGGGGCTGGCCTGGGCCTGGGCCATGGACGGCCAGAGCCAGGACCGAAGCGGGGTCCTGAGCTCCTGGGGACCACTACCACAGGAGGGGATGGGCCGGGGGGGTCACGACCCCCGGGACGCCCTCCCCCGCGAGACTTCCCATCCGGATCTTCCCCGGTACCACCGAGGTCGGGATACCCCCGGGGCCCTCCTTCCCCCCCGGCGGGGAAGGGACGACGGGAAGGGTTCCCCTCGACGTACGAGTGCGGCACTCTTCGATCGCCCCTGGTGGCTCGATCTCCCTTCTTGAAGGCCAACGGCAGTTCAAGGGCGGCAGGCGCACTTCAGCTTGGTTTGGGCTGGCCTCGCGTCGAAAGGCCTCTCATGCATGCCGACTGTTCGGCGGATTTCAGCAGCCCGACTGTAGCCACCGTCAGGGGGCGGCGGCCACGGACATGCTCGGCCCCCCTCTGGGGGGCCGAGCTGTCCACGGCCACCGCCTGCTGCGGTCCCAGGGCGCCGCTTCCCCAGGCGATGGACATGGACGCACTCCCGCCCTCCTTCTCCTCGCCCTCCTCTCCCTCCTCCTCCTCCTCCTCCTCCTCCCTCTCCTCCCCCCCCTCCTCCTCCTCCTCCTCCTCCTCCTCCTCCCTCTCCTCCCCCTCCTCCTCCTCCTCCTCCTCCTCATCCTCCTCCTCCTCCTCCTCCTCCTCCTTCCGTAGCCATTTTGGCTCAAGCCATTTTGGCTCAAGGTGGTAACAGGCCTCATTTGGTCGCGGCAGCCCTTCTGGAAGGAGCGATCCCGAGTGTCAAGCTCGGGCGGGCACCCCCTCTTCCCCCAGCCTTCAGCCGTGGCAGCAGGTGGCGAAGGCATCCAGCAGATATTCGAGAAGCTCGGCGGCATCACGGGTCGGTTGGCCACCATCGAATCAGCGTTTCCTAGCTTCCAGGCGGTGCGCGAGACGCTCTCGGCGCAAGACATGGCCATGCAGCAGATTAACTCTAGGTTCTCGCAGCTCGAGAAAAACATGCGCTAGTCATCCGAGGACGGCGCACTGGCAGTACTTCGCACAGGTACAAGCGCATTGCCTCGGATGAAGCGCATTGCCTCAGTCGAAGTACGAATGGAAACGCAAGCGTATGGAGAAACGCGCTGCGTCAGTCGAATCGACGGCGGTAACCTTAGCGGCTTCACATTCTGGCTCCTCCGACGGGCCACCCGCTACGCGGCGCAGGCTGTCAGCCCCATCCAGTAGCGTTCAGTCGCGCACAGGAGACGAGCACGACCCATGCAAGGTGTAGATTGGCGGTCTCACTCGCCCCATGCTGGCTACAACCATGGAGGCTCATGGCCGCAATCTCCTCACGCTTTTGCCGAACCGCATCCGCTCGACGGGCATTACCACCAATGCTCACAACCTCGCCACGAGCTACTCGATCTCGTTGACCAGCTCCCTGGACGCGAACGCGTTGTCAACCATAGTCGGGCGCACGTCATCATCTGGGTCGACGCAGTCACCAACGCCAACGTCACGCTCCGTTGCAGGAAGGACGCCCCCAACTCCACCCGCCAGAAGAATCAGATTCTTGGCAAGGCTTGGCAATCCGCCAGCCAGCATCTTCGCAATGCGGGTGCTTGGAACGAACGGCAGTATAAGCTAGGCGTCAACGGATTCCAAGGCATTTTGTTCATTGCAGCCGGTGAGGTCATCCACGAACTCTTCATTGAGAAAGAAGGTGATTATGGGCAGTCTGAGATTGTCTGTGTCGAGGCTGGCATCGCTCAATTCGGCATCGCCCACGGCCAGGCCACAGCTAAGGGTTGTCCACGCCGTTCAGTACAACATCGATTACATCTTCGAGTTTGCCAGGTATGTGGGCACCATACCTTTTGTGAACGCCGGACTCCACATCCAGCACTTGGGGCTCGTTCTCCGGGGCTTCCTCCTCGTCCGGGTCTTCGCTGTCGATTGGGGCTTCCAGGCTTCCGTCTGCGGCTGGCCCCCAGCGGTTCCGATCCATTTCTGTCTCCTGGACACATTCACCGTTTTTATATATATATATATACACATATATATATATATATATATATATATATATGTAGTACACATTTCAGTATCGTCCCTTGGAACGCCCGGTCGGTCTTTGGAGGGCTCACGTCGTGCCTGGATGCCGTCAAAAACACATTCCCACACCTAGTATCATACATCCAGAAGTACCATATTGCGTGCATCCAGGAGGCCAGGGGTTACCTTGTAGATTTTCAGGGAGTATGTTTCGAGGTTTTCGAATTATGAGGAATTGGGTCATTCTTCGAAGATGTGGCTGCTGGGGTCGTCCTCATCTTTATCCAACCCGCCCTGCGTGCTGCTTTCAAGTGCTGCCGATATGCCGAGCACGCCACGGGGCGAATTCAAATCCTCACGTCAGCTGGCGACACAGGCTCTCTTCGAATCACCAATGTCCATGTCGATGCGCTGCTTCGTCTTTGCGAACAGAAGCGTCAGATCATGGTCCTTCGTCGGTCCCGTCTTTCCTCTCATGCTGCACGGCTCGGGGACTTCAACTTTCCAAGCCTGGGGGGAGGCTCTTTTCACATTTGTGCGGTGGTGAATTGTTCTAGTAGATGCTAGCAGCAATGTTGCCGTCTTTTCCTCGCTGCACTTTGGCGATCTGCGTGAAGTGGAGCAGATCTTGTTCACGCATTGCGGAAAGCAAAAGATCGAGGGTTCCCAGAAGGTCGCGAGTATTAGTCGCATCGATAGGATAGACACCAACATGTATAGCTCGGTTCTCCTCGGGCTCCTTCCCAAGTCTCTTGCCCTCGTCCCGATCTCCAAGGTCGGCTGCCTCTCTGACCGCGCACCGGTTTGGCCTGCGCGATCTCCGGGTGGTAAGATGGGTTCCAGAGTTCATTCCTGGGTGCCCAAGCATTCGCATGATCTCCAGCATGTGCAGGAGCTTTCAGATCAAGTTGGCCCACTCGACCCCGACCCGCTCATCCAGCACTCCCAGGTGAAAGATGTTCTTGTACAAGCCAGCAAACATGTTCTTTAACGCAGCGTTGAGCAGGCCACCAAGTCTCTTGAGGAAAACATCGCCAGATTTCTGTCCGCGCTGCGCGGCGCGCTGCGAGGCCAGCTTTGGCTCGTCGTCAATGCTTTGCACGACTGCCCGCTCCTTGCCGAAATTCGGTGCCCGCAGTCTGGCGTGCTGTTAGATCTGCAAGTTATTCACTCCCGCCTGAGTCAGCTGGAGCATGAGCACATCCAGCAGCAGTTGATAGATGTTTAGCAGCAGCCTATCTCGGATCAGCGCAAGCAGGAGGCCGCAACGAAATTCCACCGATGCCAGTCAGCTTGGGGAAGAAAACATCGTCGGCAGTCCCTCACGGGCGTCCCCGACCCGACTCGCAAGGCTATCGCCGAGCCAGGGCAGGTCGCCATGCATCTAGCCTTTTCACGTGGGCAACGTGCATCGAGGCACGCCAAGTTCGGATGAGGACTAACAACTGCTGCGAGAATTGATCCTGCCCTGCCCCAATGGAACGTTGGACACTTGAGTTTGAGGGGCTGATTCCTCGGGCGGGGGATTCGCGCCCTGGGCCCGGCGGCGCCCCGTGCGCCTACCATGCGAAAGGGGGGCCATCAGTCGCTGACTCATTGCGCCGTCCGCGCGCCGTCCAGCTCGAGCAGGGCGACCTCCCTGGCGGTTTTATTCGGGGCAGCCGTTTTCCTTGACGGGGGCAGCGATCCAGATGACACGATCGCGCAGATGATTCGTGCGCCTGAGATAGCTGGACATATTACTTTCGCCAGCTCCGATAACATGCCCGTATCGTTCGCGATTTACACGTCGCTCTCTCGGACCGCCACCCAAACTGTTCTAGCTAACCAGAGAGGTTTTTACGTTTGGCCGCCACATGCGCGAAAACATTGTCGACCTAGAAAGTAGGTTTTTTTGGGGGGGGCGCGCTCAGCTTTGGCTCAAACGTGCTGGGGTGCTCTATTTCGGCGTTCGGTCGGCTTCCCCTAGCTAGAGGCGCTCTATGATTTTCTGGGCCCTGGCTTGTATGTGGCTCCCATCTAACGTCCTTCAGTATATTCAGGCCCTCTGCATTCACGTCGAGGTTGGCTTGGACTTCCGCGGGCTCCATGGGCGCTCCTTCCTGGCTCCCCGTGGGGCAACACAGGGGTGCCCCCCTTTCAGGCGCCATCTCCTGCGTTGTTCTGGACCCGATCCTCAGACACTTGCTGGCCGGGATCCCCGGGGGATTGAGCTGCTTGACCGCGTTCGCCGACGAGGTTGGCGCGTTGCCTCCGCGGACTTCTCTTGTATTTTTCAGAAAGAACTATTGTCGGCCTGGCAGATTGCGGTCTGCTGCGGGATTTCGCGCCCGTGCGCAGAAGTCGCTTCTCGTGCCGTTTGGACGGCTCCGTGACCCTTGCTGCAAGCACCTTGTACCTTGTGGCGGCGCTCGCCGTCTGCCCCGTTGACCCGACCTTCGAAGCTTGCGGCGAGCATCTTGGGATTACCCTCGGGAGGGATCGGAGAGAGGTTTCGTGGGCCGCCCCGTCGGTCAAGCGCGTGACCAGGACCCGCGACGTCAAGCGCCTCGGGTTAGGACCGTGCAAATCCATCGTGTGCTTCAACCTCCTCTCCTTCTCCGTCCTCTCGAACGTCCACCGAGCAGGCGTTCGCGGCGGTTCGGAAATTCCAGCAGTGTCTGGCGCATGCTCCCAATAACGTGCCAGCCCCAGCTGGTGAGAATCTCATCAGCTGGGGCTTACCAGTGCAGGCCGGAGCTCTTGAACCCGCTGCGCGCGCAGCCATGCACCGAGCGGCCGTCATGCCCACCGCGCTATTTCAAGCAATTTTTTGTTTAAACAAATTGAGATCGTGATGATGCTCGGGTGGAAGCGGAATCCTGTGTACCTCAGCTTGTTTATCTTCCAGCTCATCCCGATAAGATTTCTCCAGATTCCAACCACGCCGTCGTTCGGAACACCTCGATTCCAGGGTAAGTCTGAGGCTGCCCTTGTTGCCCTTCCTATATTCCCCCATCCGCTCCGCTCTGCGTGGCCGGCCTTTCAAATTCTGTCCTCCTCCCAACTTTCGCCAGCTCGATCTCATGTTTCTTCTTGCACTTCATCGTCTTGCTCGCTGCGCTCCCACGTGCATAGCCAGTAGTGTACTTCGAACTATATGTAATGCATGGTGCACGGCCCGTCGATATCGAGGGCCCACTGAGGCCTGCATACTTTGCGGACAGGAGTCGTCCGATAGCCTTCACCACATTCTCGTGCGCGGGTGCACGTCACACGTTTTGTCCTTGCTGCCACACTTCCCGGTCAACTTCCGCTCGTTCCCTGCTGGTGCTCGTGCTTCTCTCTTCCCCGGGGTGCCTCTCGGTCGGGTCCAGCTGCTCTCAGTTGCACTACGTATCGATTGCTGCTGCATGGGCCACCATGAATGGAACTCGCGGCCCCGCGCGTCTGCACACATCGAGTGGCAGCGCTTCGGCAGCTTCGCGGCGGCACCCACCCGCCAGCTCCGCACGCGCGCCCCGCCTGGCTTCTCCGGTGTGCTAGCAGCAGCAGGATGAGGACTGGACTTGTCTCATCTCTTTCTCTTCGCCCTCGTGCCCGCCTTTCGCTTTCTTGTCCGCTTTTCTTTCTTGTTCTTTTGGCTGTGTCCTTCTCCACCTCCCCCTCCTACTCCTCGTGCCCCTCCTCCTCCCTCTCCTCCCTCTCCTCTACCTCCTTCTTCCCCTCCTCCCCTTCCTCATCCTTCTTCTCCTCCGTTCCTTCTCCTGATAGATAAATGTTCCGTGTCGGGTGTGGGGCGACCGTTTCGCAGGTGTGGGGCGGGTCGTTTTCAAAATGTGGCTCTCGCCTCAGCGCGGCGCATATTCGTTGCAACAAATTGCAAAAGGTTCACGGGTTGAACGCTGGTGGTTTTCAAAATTTGGCTGTCGCTTTAGTGTGGCTCACACTCGCTTTAAACATTTGCAAGAGATTCACGGATCGAGGGCGATCCGTATTCAAACTGTGACTCTCGCTTTAGCGCGGTGCACATTGGATTCTATAATTTCCACAGTTTCACGGATTGAGGGCGGTTCCTTTTCAAAATGTGGTTGTTGCTTGAGCGCCGCGCGCATTCCTTTACAACGTTTGCGAGATTTTCACGGTTTTCTATCATCAGCTTTCCAGGATGGCGTTTTGAAAAGGATTCAGGACTATGCGGGAGCAACAGTTACGTGGATTCTCTGTGTTGAAGTCCCAGGAATGGCGTTCTGGCACGGTTCAGGATCGCCAAAGCGCAACAGTCAGGTTGATCTGTGGCGTTGGAATCCCGAGAACATTGTTTTGGCATGCCTCAGGGTCTTCGAACGGCTGGCCTCCGACGAGGCAGTTCCCTCAATGGAAATGAAACGTTGTATGGGGCCTGTGGAGAGGGAACTTGGAGGGAGGGTTAATTCCAACATCGTTGATGACCCTTGGGTTGACTGGTCTTCCTCCTCTTTTTCCTCCTCCTCTCGCAAGGTGTCTGCTGCGGCGTGGACGGAGGAGGATCAGGAGGAGGTGGAGCAGCACGGCGCGAAACGCCCCCCGAGCCCAGCGTGCTTGCGGCTCGGCGGCACGCCGGACGCGCGCCCCGACGGCCGGAGCGCGCCGTGCAGCTCGGCCGGGTGCCGCTCGGGCTCCTGCGGTGGGCCGGGCTTCGCGTAATATGTACGAGCACCCCGCAGATGCGGACAAGAGCGAATGGGCGGTGGGGACGTCGGCAATTTGCGAGGCTCTGGAAAAGCTCGCCGCAGGCGCCAAAGCTTCAAACATCATACAACGAGCCCGCCGCAGGCTCCGATGTTGTTTTTCGATTTTTCTTTAAACCAATGTGGGTGGGTCGCGGGTGGGTCGCGGGTGGCTCGCGGGTGGCTCGCGGATGGCTCGCGGGGTGGGTCGCGGGTGGGTCGCGGGAGGGTCGCGGGTGGGTCGCGGGTGGGTCGCTGCCTGGGTCGCGGGTGGGTCTCGCGGTGGGTCGCGGGGTGGGTCGCGGGTGGGTTGCGGGTGGTTCCGGGGTGGGTCGCGGGTGGGTAGCGGGGTGGGTCGCGGGTGGGTCGCGGGGTGGGTCGCGGGGTGGGTCGCGGGTGGGTCGCGGGTGTGTCGCGGGTGGGTCGCGGGTGGGTCGCGGGTGGGTCGCGGTTTGGGTCGCGGGGGGGACGACGACAACAGCAAACAACAACAACAACAACAACAACAACAACAACAACAACAATCATTTTACCCGAACGCTCAGTGTTCTCCCCAGTGCCAGGGTTTTCATGCGACGCCAGCCAATACCCCCACTTCGTGGGGGGGCAATGCAAGCTCTACCAAACATCCACACGACTCTCGGGAACCACCCACACCCAGCTTCCCGCCCTATGACGTCAGGACACTTCACTTCGTGGCGCGCGGACGATCGTGGATACTACACTGGCGTGGAGTACACACCCGCAGAGGTTGATCACTTGTTTGGGCCCCGCATGTGCCCCGCATCGTGCATTTGTTGCGCATGACATACATAGTACAAAGACAGAGAGAGAGAGAGAGAGAGAGAGACAGCGCGCGCGGGTGGAAATTTTGAAAAGTCGTGCAGGTGTTTTTCGAGGACCTACGGTGCGATTCGTGTGATTTTATGATGCGCGGTGCTAAAATTCTTAAGAAACCCAATGGTTTTTGGAGATTTCGGCGTGCGCGCGCGAAGAAAAAACGAATGTGTCCCGCATGGTATTATTTGACAGGGATGATGGCCCTGGCAGGTGCGCAACCGTTGTCGCAGAAGTTCGAAAAAGTTGCTCGCAAAAGCCCGTTTGACAGAAATGTTTAAAAAGTGTTGGTTTTCCTACGAATCCGCAAGAGCGCGCGGGATGACATTTTGACAATTTTTTCTTGAAAAACCATTGGTTTTTTGATGTTTTTATGTTAAAATCGTTACGAACACTAAGGTTTTGGAAGGATTTCGTCTTGCGCGCGCGAATGTCCACTTTACCTTATTTTTTGCAAGGGATTCTTGAAATTTGATCAAGTAAGAACAAGAATTTTCATTTTATAGTGTTTTTTGCAAGGGAAAACGGATTACAACAAAACAACCGGATCCGGTGACAATCCACTTTTCTGAAGCTTTCGCTAGAAAATGAAGGAAATGAGGCTGCGGCCTAGGTTTTGGAGGGGGGTCGCGCACCAGGGGTCTCAACAATAATATTTCTTTAGAAGTAATAATATTCAACAACAACAACAACAACGACGACAACAACAACAAACATAATCCTCACCATGGATCCCCATTTCAGCCACGCGCCCAGGGACAGTGAATGACCGTTCGGCCCCCATCGCTCTGATATTTATTGCGAAGGCCTTACGGCCGGTGCCGCCAATCCTGAGAACGACGAAGATGAACATGAGGGGGGGCAGGGGGAGGAGGATGAGTGGGAGGTGAAGGAGGGGTGGAGGAGGTGGATGAGGGAGGAGGAGGGGGGATACGGATGTGGAGGAGAAGCTAGAGGAGGAGAAGGAGGCAGAGGAGAGCAGGAGGAGGGGAAGCAGAGGGGGGGGGGAGGATGAGGAAGATGAGGAGGCCAGAGGCTTTCTTGGGACAGCCTGGGGCTCTCTTGAGGCTGTTTTGGGCCGTTCGGGGCTCCTCTCGCGCCGTCTCGAGGCACTCTTGGAGGCCTCCTGGGCAATTTGGGGCTCTCCTGGGCTGTCTTGGGGCAGTTTGGGGGTCCCTTGGGAGCCTCTTGGGGCTTCTTCGGGGCCTCTTGGGGCTTCTTCGGGGCCTCTTGGGGCTAAGAGCTCGAAATGTCCGTTCGGGCCCCCCGTCTGGGCACTCTCCTGGAGCCGTCTTGGGGGCCTCTTGGGCCGTCTTGGAGGGGTCTTGGGGCCCTCGTCGGCCGTTAGGGGACCCTCTTGGGGGCCTCTTGGGCCGTCTCGGGGCGATCTTCAGGCCTCTTGGGCTGTCTTGGCGCGAGGCAATAAGGCCAACATCGTTCAAAAACGTATGGGAAATCAATGAATTTTGCCTCTTGAGGCTCTCGTGGGAAAGCTCCTTGAGGCCTCTTGGGGTGCTTTGCAGGCCTTTTGGGCCGTCTGGAGGCCGTCAAGGCAGATCGTTCGGCGATTCGGGGTTCTCTTGAACTGTTTTTGATGCCTCTTGGGGCACCTTTTGCCCGTCTTGGAGCTTTTTTGGGCTCCGGGACTCCCCGGGAGGGCGTCCCCTCACCTCCGGGACCCCGGGACCCCCCACCGGGCCCCCCCCCCGGGGACCCCCCCCCCGGCGGGGGAGGGATCGAAGGGAAGCGGCTTCCCTTCGACTCAACTACTCCGAAATACGAAGGCCCACCCCCCAAGACAGAAATGATTTTACGACGAGTGAACCTCGCCCATACCCTCACATCGGTTTGCCAGCACCCCGGGCGCCGCCTCCAGGAATCGACAGAGGCCGAACATTTCTTGGACCGACTGGACGCCGCAGGAAAGCAATGCATTGCCGATCTTCCCCACATACTACAGGATAAACGCAAATGGACGGCACCTCTCTACTCCAATATCTACACGAACGGGCGACCGCTTCGGCACGTTCCACCACCCTCCTCCTTCACATGTCCAACCTCCAAGAGACAGACTTTACACGTTCCCCCCTGGCGCTCCCACCCCTCGCTGGTCGACAACGGTACGAGGCGCTGACGAAAAGCGATGCGACCATTCGCACCACATTGCAGCGGATATGCGGCGAGGAACTCCATATGTGGGCTCCGCTGGACGCCGCTGCCATGACACGACTCGCACGCGGCTTCAAGGCCTTTGCAACCACGGCGACCTCCACGACGACCTTGCACCTACTCGTACCGCACGACGTCTACCCAGGATGCACTTTTCCAGCAGAGGTCCTGGACATTTGGGGCCACGAGCTCATGGAGGTCTCACCCCCCAACCTTCGATACACACACATTTATAAAACAAGAAATCCGATGTCGTTTTTTGTTAAAACAAAAAACGCGGTCCACAGAAGTCTTGACCCATTCTCCAGGACCGGTTTTTCATCCTGAATCATTTTCTGACGGCCCCGAGGCCCGGCGAGGACCCCGAGGGCCGAAATTAGCAGAACAACCTTCGTCTTGATTTTTTTCTAAAAGCTTGATCTCTGTACATAAATAGGTGTTTATGTAGATATACCAATATCTCTATCTACACACATGCATGCATGCATATATTCATACATACAAACAAACATCCATATTTACATGCATATTTACAGTCATATAGACCTACACACATACACATATACATACATACTTACATACATACATACATGCATACATATATACATAATACATACATGAATCCATGAATACATACATACATACATACATACATACATACATACATACATACATACACACATACATACATACATACATACACCCATACATACACACATACATACATACATATATACCTACCTACCTACCTACCTACCTACCTACCTACATACATACATACATACATACATACATATATACATACACCCATACATACATACATACATGCATGCATGTACGCATGCATGCATGTATGTGTGTCTGTATGTATGCACGTACGTACGTACGTACGTATGTATGTATGTATGTATGTATGTATGTAAACATACATTCATACATATACATACATACATACAACCATACATACAAACATACATACATACATACATCCATACACACATATATACATACATACATACATACATTCATGTACATATCCTTATGTGGCAGGGCCGCGGCTGAACCAAATGTTTCTCCTCCTGCGGCCGGTGGCCCGCGGTGTCCCGCCCGTGTCCCGCTGGTGTCCCGTGGTGTCCCGTTGAGTGAGATCGGTGGTGAGATCGATAGTGAGACCGATCGTGAGATCGATAGTGAGATCGATGTGGTGCCCCAAGGTGTCCCGTGGTGTTCCAAAAAGTGAGATCGATAGTGAGATCGATCGTGATATCGAAAGGTGTCCCGTGATGTCCCGTCGTGTCCCATGGTGTCCCTTTAAGTGATATCGATAGTGAGATCGATGTGGTGTCCCGAGGTGTCCCGTGGTGTGCTGTGGTGTCCCGTTGAGTGAGATCGTTAGTGAGATCGATAGTGAGACCGGTAGTGAGATCGAGAGGTGTCCCGCGGTGCCCTGTGGTGTCCCGTGGTGTCCCGTGGTGTCCCGTGGTGTCCTGTTGAGTGAGACCGATAGTGAGATCGATAGTGAGATCGATAGTGAGATATACAAGTGTCCCGTGGTTTCCGTGGTGTCTTGTTGAGTGATATTGATAGTGAGATCGATTGAGTCAGATGTTTGTTCCCCCCTCTGCCCCCCCTTACAACCTCCTGATCACCTGAAGGGTGGTCGTATAGGTGTGTATACACAAGGATGCAGTGGCGATTCACGCCATGCAACTTGTTCCTTGTAGCTTCGAATGCAGGCGGCGTGCGTGCGCGTGGACATGGGGCGGGCCACCGTCAAGACGGAATGGGTGAGGAATTCCAAAGCGGTAGTGACCAGACAACGCCAGCTGAGGCCATCTCAGGGCGTTTCGGGGCCCAGAAGCGCGAATCTGTCTCAGGCGAGTGGTTGGGATAACATGAATCAGGGCATCCTCCTCCTTTTTCTCCTCCTCCCCCTTTTCCTCCTCTTTCT